CAACTACGGTGATCCTGTGCCAGATGCGACATCTATCGCGTCCGACACCTGGACGTTTGGGACCTCTACGGCTGAACCGCAAAATCTCTATTTGCTGCCTGATTCCACTGGACCCACCGGCTCCGTGGCGGCAACAAGCGGCGGATTTACCAATTTCTCCGCTGTCCTTTACGAATGACCAGTAACGTTAACACTACGAAATTATTAAACAGTAGCTCCTTACTACGAAGTACATCGTACTTTTACGTTGAAAAGTGTATCACGAGTTTATGCGTGGGGTTGGTGGACCCATGCGCAATCAACGTGAGAAGCCAACATTCCTGTAAGGCGTGGATTTGTCGGGAGGCGAGCTGGCTGCCACCTATACCGTAAGATGGGAGATCCCCATCGACGTGGCCAGCTGAAGCCCTCTCACAAGACCATCGCATTCGGTGCTGTTATTGGTCGTGGGGCCGACAAAGAAGTGCGCATCATACGCGCTGCATTGTTTTACTGTTACATTTGTAGTTGACATGTAGATAGATATTAATACTTCCTCCGTTCAGGAATACCTGTGTGAAGTTGCTTCGAAAACCATATTTCAGTCAAAAAATCTCGAAAAGACTTGCGAATACGCCCAATCGATATCCAATGAAATTCTCTGCAACGCAGTATTTTTAGTTTTTTTATATTACCTCTACCCATCAAGATGTGGGTTCTGGAACTTTCGACGCGGACAGCGAAAAACTAAAAACATACGTTACTCAGTCACTTTTCATCCGTTGGTCCTCAAACCACGCGCAAACGCTTGCTCTTGACGCGTACATAACGGAACCGATCTGGAAGAACTCCAACGAACATTCAGCATGGCGAGGTCTGCGACCGGTCGTGAACTCACGGACGACCAACGAACGGCATTGTACCATCGTCTTCTACAGCTCAAGAAGAACGGCCGTGTCGGTTCCGGGGACATGAAGGAGCTCATGCGCACGTTCAATGTCTCGCGACAAACCGTATCCCGCATTTGGCTCCGAGGTTGCCATACGGCTGCTGAGACGGGATGCGCCAAGGTTGCGTCAAAGAAGAGAGGTCGCTGTGGTGCGACCCGCAAGCACGATGGTAACAGTGTACGAGACGTCGTGACAAGTAAGCCGTCGTACCGACGATCCAACTTCCGTTCATTGGCGGCTGCAACTGGGATACCCAAGATTTCGCTTTGGAATCTCCTGCAGGCCAACAAACTTCGCCGCCGCACGAGCCGTGTGAAGCCCATGTTGTCCGTCAAGCAAAAGTCCGACCGCTTCAACTACGTCCAGAAGTTAGTGCGGTCGGGTCATGGTCGCTCTTGTGTGTGGTATGATATGTTGGACTATGCGCACCTCGATGAGAAGTGGTTCTACATCACTCCAATCAATCGCCGCTACTACCTTTGACATGATGAACCCATTCCCCAACGGAAGGTCCAATCCCAGCGCCACATCACTAAGGTGATGTTCTTGTGTGCGGTTGCGCGGCCTAGATTTGACTTTGGACGGCGCGTCAAGTGGGATGGCAAGATTGGACTGTGCCCATCGTCGAAACCAAAGTGACGGCACGTCGGAGCAAGAATTGTGACCGTGGCACGCCCGGCACTGTCGCCATGACGGTGACAAAGCCCATCTACCGTCGACTGTTGGTTGACAAGGTTATACCAGCTATCCAAGCGAAGTGGCCTGGGCGGCGTGGTGGGACAATTTACCTGCAGCAAGACAACGCGCGACCGCATGTTGCTGTTGACGACGCAGAGGTGGTGGCTGCCAGCCGCAAGAACGGCTGGAACATACAGCTGGTCGCGCAGCCAGCAATGAGTCCGGACTTCAACGTCCATGACCTTGGTTTCTTCAACGCTATCCAAAGTCTACAGCACCAGACTGCTGTGCGGACAATAGGAACGGAGGAAGTATAATTCGTCGCCCCCGACAATTGAACCCAACATGGTTTTAATTGGACGAAACAGAATTCAGAGAACGCACTCTCATTGGCTTCTTTTCAACAACACCAGACTTTGCAAAACAAGTAACGTTACCCAAGATTTCATTACAATCTTCCCTCACGCTTTCTCTTACGGACTTTATCCAAGGCATCACTGTAAGTGCTTGTGTAGCCCTCATACGCCGCCTCAAACAACTCATAGCTGATGTACTTTGAAAAGGCAAGCGACAGGGTCAGGCGCTCCGAGTACTTTCGCCGATTGGCTCTGATCGTTTCCTTGCCGAACGAGCGCACAGGCTGAAAGAGGCCCACAACAGCGTCCCCTGTAAACCATTGAATCCACGCGTCTTTGGCTGACCTTGCTGTAGTGATAACAGCATGCGTGACAAATGCATCGAGGGTAGTCTGCCGTTGAGACTTCACAACAGAAGCAGGCAGTGATCGGCAAGACTCTGTGGCGGCATGAATGCCGCTGGCATGCGGTGAGGTGCCATGGTTATTCAGACGCTTTACAATTGCATCGCATAGAGCATCTACGCTCATTGAGCCGACGTTGCTATCATCGGTAGCCGTGGCAACTTTGACGCGCAATAGGTTTCTGGGGTCAACTTCGTTAGTAATACTCCGTGTAATGAGGTATTGACAACACGTCTTTGCATCTTCCCAACGGCACCATGCCATCAGCTCCCTAAAGTTGAAGCGCCGTTCGGGAGACTCAAATACCCGATAAAAGCTGCCACCCCGCCTCAAGATGTGTAAAGTTATCCCTAGAATTTTTTTATAATTTTGGAAAATCAAGGAAAATCGGATACTAACGTAAATATAAATAAGAAATTACTAGTTAGAGCACAAATAATTACCTGTTGGTAGCTCAGAGCATCTTTCGACGGCGTTTTTGATGAACAACCGCACTTGATTTTGCTCAAGGTTCTTATACCAGTTCAGCCTCGGTGTACCAGTGGCCTCGAGGGTGTAAGCAGGGAACACAAATGACTGAGTTGCTAAGTTTGGACTGACTCGCTTGACGAGACCAAGGTAGTCGCGAAACAATCCGCAAACACGTAGACATGGAAATGACTTCTCGTCCACGAGGTTGTATACCTGGCAGTCGCTTTGCACGCTCGCCTTCTTGTGCCAACGGAGCCTGACCGATACATACTCGGTGTGCTCATCTTGGTGCATAGCAACATCGTCCCAGGTAAGACTCAACATCTCGCTGATGCGGAAACTTCCAAGATAGCTGGCACTGAGCATGAAGCGGAACAGAGAACCACGAAAGGGGTGGGCAGTTGACAACGAGTTGATCAAGCACGACAACTCAAACACCGAAAGAGGATGTGCCTTGTTCTCGTCATCAATGTTGTGTTTTTGGTTGTATTTTTGCAATCCCACAACGTACTGCTTGGATTCAACATCCAAGCAGTGCTGAGCAGGGCTGGGTTGGGGTCCCTTTTGAGGTCAGCGAAGTAGGCAACCAGAGCTGTCTTAGCAGAGTTAACAGTCCGTGCCGTCCGTCCAAGGTGGTGGAAAAATTCCGTGCAGGATCCAGGGCCTGCTGTGCGTGCTTCAATTGCAAGCACGTTCTCGCAGAACGTGAAGAACTGTTTTTGGTACGTTTTGTACGTTCGTAGCGTCGAAGTTGAGCGAAATGAACCTTGAATTGTTGCTTTGGATGGTACGGTGGTTGCGCTCACGATGTCGAATGATTAATTTGTTCTGTGCAAGATGAAGCGACGCCCTGTATTTTTAGTTTGATATTCCATAACCGTCCAATCATAGGCTGTACATGTTTAATGTAAATGATATGTTTTCACCCGACAAGTAGGTTGTCCAATCAATGTATGAATGTTGTCGGTCAACCAATTACATAACGCAAATTGTCGGACCTGCCAATCCCATGCCCTGAAAATTGTCGGTTCCCAGGTATATGTCAGTTGCGAAGAGAAAAAATCTGTAAATACTTATTCAGCCAATATATTATTTTCTGAAATACCTCGTTCGTAAACTATACCCATGAAACTTTGCAAATCCTGCATTGATTTGCAGAAAGGCGGCAAGTTGCAAGAATAATGGCGCCAACTTAGCTCGATGGCCGACGCACTGGGCGTCCTAGTACCAAGCAAATCAAGCGAACGCCCAAGAAGCACAAAAACCTCTACCATACCTACGAGAAAAAGCTTCATATAATCAACGGGCGCAAAGAACATTCCTTGGAGCCCACCATCGACACGTTCTTCCCCGGTGTCGCGGGAGCCAAGTGCACTACATACTGGAAGCAGATCCTGCGCTGGGAATCACAACGGGACCACATCCCTATGGCAAATAGTAGTCACTGGGGCTTAACCCTAACCTAATCAGAAGCTGCTTGGCAGCCAATAATCTAACTCGGGTTCTGCGAATGGCAAATTCGCAACAATCCTCCCCAACGATTGCGTCACGCCCAACACAGTTGTCATCGCCTTGACTTGAGTATCGGCCTAGTTAGAGCGCACGTAGCTCTTGAACTCAGTTGGAATGTCTTCGAACAAATTGGCCCGTTCCCATGCGTCTTCAATTTCTTTTAGGCCGCGGCAGCGAAGGCACACTTTAAACGAGGTCAATCGATCGTTGTAGGGGCAGTCGAGAAACTGGTGGACCACATGACCGTCGGCGTTGTGCGCAATGTGGCGCAGCAGTTCTTCGGTCACATTCAAGGTGTCGTCGGCGTAAAACTTCAGACGACTACAGTAGGCTTTACCGACCTCCCCCGTCACCAAATTTTTGAATTTGAAAATCAAATCGGATGTTTTCTTGACCACTTGAGCTGGTCCACGCCATGTAACACTTAGCTTTGAGTTCGAAATCGACAACACGTCCATGTAAAGCACAAAATCGCCAATGTTGAACTGGGGCATTTCCGCGCCTTTTTCTTCGATCTTCTTTCATTGATTTTTCTGACGCTTTCTTGTCGAAGCATCCACCACCGTCACATGCATTTTGGCCAAGGCGATTGTTATCGCCGCCATGTCATTGTTTCGCCACGACAGCAAGTCGTCTAACGTTGAAACCATTGTTGCCACCGGAATTGGAATGCGATCCAAGGGCGACATCCCTCGGCTTCCCGTCATGGCAGTAGTCGGTGCTACACCACCGAGTGTATCGGACGGACTTTGGTTGAGTACCAACATCACCACTGGGACAATCAGCCGCCACTGGTCTGGCTGCATTAACCACTTGGACAGGAGTGCACGGAACACCTTGAGGGTCGTTTTCATCGCACTTTTGACTGTTCCGTTCGCCCACGGACATCTGGCCGTGGTAAAATAATGATGTGCCCCCAGCACATGCTTGAGCTCGGCAATCACCTCGTTCTTGAAGTGCGATCCCTGATCACTCACTCAGTAAAAACGCTGAAACATTGCAGCAAACAATGCTCCACAACTTGCGCGATCGGCACGTCGGATTCCCACAACCACTTGACCTGGGGCTGAATTATCCTTGACCACAAGGATGTAGCCACCATCCATGTAGAGAAAATCCCAATGAAGGATTTCATTGGGCTTTGTGGTATGTGCCGATGCACCAAATGGGCGACAAACATGACTACCCGTACTGGCACAATGCAAACTACGGCCTACAAAGTACGATACGTCCGAGGCAATGTCGGACGACCAAAATCGATCCACTAGGATCTGCTTCGTCGCGTTGATTCTACAGTGTCCTCCCACACCAAAATGTGCGACCACACAGAACCGCATCTGCAGGTCACTGACAGACGTCGAAATCCACACCGCTCCAGTGGCGGTCTTGGGCACCGGCACATCGTTGTCGGCCACTTCAACCTGGTGTTCCACCAGCTCAGCGACAGGAAATTCCCCATTTCCAACGGCTTAGACTTGATAATCCATGATCTCGGCCATGGTTGGCCAAATGAATTCGCCATTTCGCAACGGCAAAATCTTCTACGGCACGTCCACGATGGGGCATATAAGATTGGAATTTGTTCCCCATCGGGACAACAAATCCGCCCACACGTTGACATCACCAGAGATGTCATGAATGATGTAATCGTACCCCATGAGTAGTAGTGCCCAGCCATCGAGTTCCGCTGCCGTGTACTTCGGGATCGTGGCGTTCACACTGGCCGCGTTAAAAATGAACTTGAGGTTTGCGTGGTCGGTGAACAACGCAAATCCACCGGGCTTGTGGAGCAGGTAGTCTGCACACTCCACGATCGAGAACGCCTCCTTTTCGACGATTGCCCATCGTTGCGCCGCGCCAGAAAATGTCCTGCTCAAAAACATCAGCGGCTCATGGTCTTGCACGATCCACCTGATCAATTTGAGTCGCAACGCCGCCCCAATGCAAATAGCTGGCGACAGCGAACACACAAATAAGCCGCTCCGGCTTTAGATGGGCGAGGACCACCACACGGCCCAGGGCATCCTTGCAACTTGTGAGGCACGCTGCATGCTCAGAGTTCCAACCCACGTCGGGCAACACCACTTTGGCAACTTTCTGTCGAGTTCGTCCACCACCCGCCTTGTACACCGACTCCAGCAGATCGGTAATCGGCTGTACAATGACATTGTACTTCGGAATCAACATGCGCATCCAATTCATGGCGCATATGAATTGCTACAGATCTTGCCCGGTCACCGGCATCTTCAGATCTTGCAACGCCTTGATGCGTTCCGGGTCGTGCTTGACTCCTTCGGACGACAAAATTCGGCCACACCAGCGCGCTTCGGTTTCAAAGAACCGACACTTCTTCGGGCTCAGCTTTAGTCCGCGCGACTCAAAGATGGCCAGGGCGCATTCGAACGCGGCCAACAAACCCTTCTTCGACTTGTCGTAGCCCAACAAATCGTCCAACCAGATCAACAACGAGCGGTAGAGCTCGTCTTGGAACATTTGTTGAACCGATGATTGGCACGCGCGTCGGCGGGTACACTGTGGTGTCGGTCAGGAACGAAAACATTTCTTGCGACTCTTCGTCCAGCGCAAACTGCCAATAACTCTTGAAAAAGCCGAGGGTAAAGAACTCACTGGCACCGGCAAGGTGATCCAAAATTACCTCCAGCATCGGCATCGGCCGAATGATGCGCTCCGTCTGTGCATTCACTGGACGGACGTCCACAGTCTTTGGAAAATCGTTCGCTACGGAATTCTTGACGATTAATGGTGCCGAGCACCATTTTGACCGGGGATTGCGGTAGCATAAACCCGCCGCCTGTAACTCTTCAACGTGCTTGGCCATGAGGTTCTGCTGCTCCTTCGAATAGCAGCACGCCTTGCACCGCACCGGTTCCGCCGCTAGCCTTAAGCGTCACACGTATCGGCGCTACATCCACCGGCGGATTTCGGGCCAACGAAAGCCGAAACAGGACTTCGTAGGCAATAACAGCGTCCACATTGCCATAGAGAATTCCTCGCCGCATCCCGGGGCACGACATTTGCTGACCTTGTCCTTCAGCTTCGCGCGCACCACAGCTTGGTCGTTTTCTTTCGGCCAATCAGTAGTCACTCTTGAGCGACACCATCGCTTTCGCCATCGAGTTCAGGTCCAACCTTTAGACCTCACGCGCCGATAAAATGTATTCTCGCCAGTCGTTATCGGTTATATCTTCAAACGACTTTCCAAAATCATGTGCGCACACACGCGGCAAAATCTTATGGTCAATGCATGCCGCCAACGGTATCAAAAACGTGGTAGCACCAATGCTGCGGATGAGCACTTAGACACGTCGCGAGTACGCTAGATACTTATCCATGAACGCTTGCGCTTCGTGCTGCCCTTGTACATAGGTGCTAGCGGCTCCTGTTGCACGCCTACTGGGCTGGTTGCCGCTGCGCTTCTCCAACAATGCTTTGTCGCTGATAGGCTCCTTCAGCCAATAATCTCCAATGTTTGCTGTCACGTAGGACTTTCTTGATTGTCACGTAGGACGTTCGATTGAACTGACTTGACGACGCCGCTGCACGCTCTACGCTTAGCATTCTCGTCCATCTCCGCCTGGTTTGGCGTAGGAAATTGCACGGCGGTCTCCATCGACCGTGTTCGCGTTATAGAGCCAGCAAGCTCATTAACTGGAGACTTTATTGTTCCAAGTTAATACGGCAAGTAGCAGGCAGCTAGTAAAGAATTCTTTGTTGAGTCTCAACTTCAAATTACAAAGTGAATTTCCCCCAGTAGAAAGTAATCAATCACTGGGGCTTAACCATTACCTAATCAGACAGCTACTGGGCAGGCAATAATCTAACTAGCGAATCGGATCGCACACAGGATATCCAACCTAACGTTAATCGAAAGCTTGGCTACCTTCTTGGGAGGGGATCAGTGGATCTGCGAATAATGGCAAATTCGCAACAAGAAACTATAATCATTTTAATTCTCGGTGGCCAAGGTTTGCGGAGGCTCAGGGGCTGCTCTCTTAATGCCCACAGGGGTGCCAGCCCCCCTCTGTAACTACGAGGCTCACTTGGGGTTAATAACGTACTGTACGCAGTGCAGTAGCTGAACACGATGACTTGCTCCGAGAAAACGGGCTCCAATTCACTCGGCACGTACGGTATGGGGTTTACACCTCACCAATTACCAACTACGGGGATCCTGTGCCAGATGCGACATCTATCGCGTCCGACACCTGGACGTTTGGGACCTCTACGGCTGAACCGCAAAATCTCTATTTGCTGCCTGATTCCACTGGACCCACCGGCTCCGTGGCGGCAACAAGCGGCGGATTTACCAATTTCTCCGCTGTCCTTTACGAATGACCAGTAACGTTAACACTACGAAATTATTAAACAGTAGCTCCTTACTACGAAGTACATCGTACTTTTACGTTGAAAAGTGTATCACGAGTTTATGCGTGGGGTTGGTGGACCCATGCGCAATCAACGTGAGAAGCCAACATTCCTGTAAGGCGTGGATTTGTCGGGAGGCGAGCTGGCTGCCACCTATACCGTAAGATGGGAGATCCCCATCGACGTGGCCAGCTGAAGCCCTCTCACAAGACCATCGCATTCGGTGCTGTTATTGGTCGTGGGGCCGACAAAGAAGTGCGCATCATACGCGCTGCATTGCGGGCTGCAACGAGGCATGTCAATGACCCCAGAGCCCTCTGCAGTGCTCATCCTTGCGGACAGTACTACTTAGTACGACTGTATGTTTCGATTGACATGTGCTTTTCCAGT